TTTGAGAGTCGGAATGGGATCGACCTTAGTGAGTCATGTGCCATGTGTGGTGAGGTTTTTGTGTAGTCCATGTATTGTAATTGTGTCTAGAACTTGCCCGGTTTGTGAGTTGAAGCGAAATTTTAGGTGATGCTCGGTCTGAAAAATGATTTTAGGCTTTCTTTGATCTTTTTGAGCTTAATTGCTTACCACAAATAAAATTTATCCCTAGTTAAATCTTTTGAGCCTATAGACTTTTATTTGGCACCCACATTACAAGCCTATACCCTTTTTATTCTTAATTGACATTGTTTTGATCCCTTTTCCTCTTAAATCACTTTAATAGTAAACGCTAAAAGAAGTAAGAAGGAATTAAGTGTGGGGTGGCTTTTGAGTGGAACCAATAAAAGGAAGAAAGGTGCGCTTGTTTTTTTAAAATAATACACCACTAGCGGAAATTGAAAAAAAAATAATCTGGAAAAAGAAAAAGAAAAAAAATAGAGATGAATACATTGTTGTCTTGTTCTTGATAGTGGGTATGAATTAATGTAGTGCTTACAGAAGAAGGGAGCATTTTTGGGGTGATATTGTTTGTGAAAGTGAAGTGGATTCAAGAATTTATGCTTAAAGTTGATTATGTGGTGTGTTGAAGTGCATAGGAGGGTTAGTCATTGTTCCTAAATATATCCTACCCGTCCCTTAGCCCACATTACAACTATGAAAAAGACCTAATTGATTTTAGATCGAGCGAGCCTACATTAGTAGAGATTTACATTAAGGGCAAGCCTATGGTACCAATTACATGCATGTGAATTCTTTTGTGAGGGTGAGCGATTTTCTTTGATATATGTGAGCATGAGATTCGAATGTGTGGATTGATTTTACTTTCTTTGCTTTGGTTGTGAGGGCACATGGTTTCACGAAGGATAGGTAACAGTATTAGACTTCTATACGACGTTGGGTATTCAAGCCATGAGTGCATTGTGACATCGAGTCGGTTTTTGAGGCTAGGATTGTTGTGAGCATGTTGTCTTTGTTGTAAATAATTTTAAGAATAGTATGAGTAAAAGGGAGTTGTTGCATATGTTAGAGTTTAATTGTTGCTATCAGCCATAATCGTTGGTGTAGTGTGCTTCGAATTGTATAGGCCAAAATCTGCCCTAAGGATATTCAACGTAATACGACATTAAGGGAAGAGTCAGTCAAGGTCGACTAGGAAGCAGCAAGATTCATGGCCGAGATGTCAATCATGACCGAGGTCGAGCATTGTGTAAAAAACAATAACGGCTAGTGTTTGAAATAGGATATTAAAGAGAATATTCTAGTGAATATTCCCTGCACTTGAATATTGCCTTTTCATTGACATTCTTAATTACATATATTACTCCACACTTTTCCATCAGATCCAAGGATATTTCGAACATTTTAGGATTTGTCTGTCACGCATCCTTGTCAGGAGGAACAATCATCTCATTCATGCATTATTGAGTGATTTATTTCTTCTATTTACTTAAATGCCACTTATTGTTATTTATTTATTCCTCCATTATTGCCCATGCTTTGAGAATATTTAATGCGCAACGTCATTACCTTTCCACTGAACCAATCCTATAATTTCTGCATTTTCAAGATCTACGTTGAGAAATATTATTATTAACTAAATTTAACCCATCATTACACAAATATAAGGTTTAACCAAAAGTTATACTTTTTGGTGAAACACCTATTAAGATCGATCGTCAGCAGCAATACTTCAAATGTCAAAAATTCCAGCTCTGTTATCCTCAAACTTACCTATTGGGAGGCGCAGGTGTCCTTAGCATTAAAAATGGTACTGTCTTCTTAAAGTTGATAAGAAAGCATGCAGCTGTTTTAAACAGAGGCCGTCACTCTTAAAGCTTAGACAGTAAAATATCAAATGGAGTATATTGAAGAAAAGGTGACAGTGAAAGATGATCAGTTCGGCGAATCTATAAAGTATAACTGAAACTGGGAGTTCTATGGGTCTTATGTACAGCTCTGTTGGTTTACTAGTACTATTTGATCACGTCACAATATCTTATTTACTGCGCTGTGTCTGTTTAGTTATCCTTGGTCTATGCTACTTTTAAAGAATAATTAACAACAGTTTGCCTCCCAAAATTGGACTTGCACTTGTACTTTGCTCTTCTTTTTAAAATTATGTAGTATCCCAAGAATTCCTGTGTGGTGACATTATGCTTCAATCTGACTTTAAATAACAAGTGACAATATTTTGGGAATTGCATTTTGGGCATCTCCAATCCTTGCACCATTTTATTTACACCAAAAAAAAGAATATTTCTTTTATATTCTTCTCTCTTCTATATTATATTATATCTTTGTAAACAAATTGCTTCTTTTTTCTTTTTTACATATTTATTCCATATAATTCGTATTTCTTTCTTATAACCATAAACTATAAAATTATTTTACACCTTTAATTTTTAAATAATATAAATTATACGCAAATATACATTATACATATCAATGTATAATTCAAATAAAAATAAAATCATTGACAAGATATAATTAAATAAATATTATATTATGGTAAAATTTAGTTGAATTTTTACATAAATATTCAACTTACAAGATTAGTATGTTGCTCCTATAAATGCTGTATTAATGCATTACGAAGTGTAAAATGAACATCTTTGTCCTTAATAAAATAAAATATTCTAAAATTAATGTATAAAAATTATAATATAAAATTAAAATTATAAAAATATTACTATAATTAATTACAAAATTATAATATGTTAAATTAAAAGTGTTATATATTAAAAAATAATATTAAAATAATGGTGAATAGTAATGGTGTTGATGAATAGTACTATTCACACACCAAAATAATGTAAGAAATGGTGTTGGGTTGGAGCAAAAGAACACCAAATCTTACACTAAAATAGTGTTTGGTGTTAAAATTGGTGTTGGGTTGGAGATGGTCTTATTCAACATTTGGTCGTTGGTATTAGTTAATATTGATATAAATATTTTACTAAAATCTTGAAAATATTATTTATCCCATGTAGAAGGTGGGGATTACAACCTTGTTTTGAACCCAACGACTAATATTTTGTTGGATCACCTTTTTTCTATGTAAGTGACATTTTGCTCAGGTTGCCCCCCTAAAATTGGAATTTATTTCAGAATTTGAAAATCTTATGTTGAATTTTTTTTTTTTGCAGGGGAAGAAATGGTTTGATAAGTTTGTTCCAAGGCAACCAAAATAATAACGTTCTTTATATTCTACTCTCTACATACCTCTTCTGTTCTTTAGAAATCTAGGAGTGTACATGTCTATACCCAAAAGATCGATTAGAAGAGAAAAGGTAGAAGGGGTGCAGTTTGAAGAGTGAAATCCAGATTAAAAACTGATTAGCATACTAATACTTTTTTAACTTTGACGTCATATTTTACGCATTTTCCTTGCTTGGTTAAATTGCATATTTGAAAGTAAGTAACCTTGATAAAGTTAGGTGATTTTGGAGAAGCGATTGTAAGAATAATTAACTAACATTTAAAATGACAATATCCTTTTGTCCCAAAATGAATTATCTAATTGAGGTCTAGGAGAAGAGTTTGGAAAGGTTAATTACTCACTAATTGACTTTTTGCAAGGGACAATTTTGACGTTTAGAGAAAGGAGTAAATATTTTGTTTGAGCAGACTAGCAAGTAAAAAGAGAAAGCAAAGGAAATAAAATTGAAAGAAGGATATAATGAGATGAGCTCACCTGAGGGTTTAAAAACTGCACTGTCCTGTCATAAAAAGTATACTCCTATGATATAGAGTAGTAAAATGGCTGCATGGCTCATCATTATCTTTGCTCTATAAATTGGCTTTAACTTCACTTTATGTGCACTCCATATATTTATACATTTGTTTCGAACTCACTTAGATCAAGAACTTGCATCTACAGCATTTCTGTTTGCTTCTGAAATGTCTAATTTCACTGCCAAATGTTTCACACTCTTCCTCTTGCTGTCTGTTTTGGTTGTTCAAGAATCTCATGGTCTCTCTCTCTCTCTCTGTCTCTCTCTCTCTAAGGAATTTTTATGTATGTACAAAGTTTTGTGTTTGATCATTGCTTTATTTTGATGCAGGATGCAGCATAATTAGTAGCTCAAAATGCATTTCACAAAAGGAAGTTGCTTATGTGAGAGTACTAAACAGAAAGGTGTTAACTTTGCCTATATGACTGTCTGATGCATTTCATCTTTTTCTATTATCTTTTATCTTCTGCTGATTTCTATGACTAAGTAACTCTAAAACTAGACTTTCCAAATATGCATGCAGGTTTTAGGAAGCCAGTGGTCTGCTTTTGGGAAGGGCTTGCATGGAAACTACAATCATGCAGGGAAAATCAATGAGAAGTTTGCTGATTGGGAGCTTAGGGGAATTCCAGCTGGTCCTGATCCATTGCACCACAATGGTGCTAATCCGAAGAAACCCCGGACTCCATAGCTTTTTACCCCTCTCTATAATCCGGCACCTCTTGTTGATGCAGTACTAATTTTGTTTTAGCTATATTTCCAAGTTTATGGTAAAGGCTATATGGAATTCAAGCTTCTGTTTTTGTTGTTTCTGCCCCAAAACATGTTAAACTAACAAAGTGTTAATGGGCTTAGGCTAGCTACTTGGAGTAGAATTTTATAACTAGCTGAAATGTATATATGGTTTGACGCAAAGTTGTCCTTTTTATTCCTAAGAAATGTTAAGAATGAAACATAGTTTTTGCTATCACAAATGAACACTCTCAAAGTCATGAATGCAAAAAGATCTAAAGGATTTGCTGAGAAAAAGAAAGAAAGGACAAAACTATTGTGAAGGTGATGGTAGGGTGACTTGCTACCGAGTTGGGATTAAACCCCTTCATTTCATTGCAGTACTGAGTTGTGTGGTTTTTGTTCTAATGCCATCTCAAATAGTGGTGGATTCAAGATTTTAAAATTATGGGGGCTCGCCGAAAGAAATTACAAAAATAAAAAAAAAATTAAAAAAAAGGAGGAAAAATGAGTTTAGTTAAGGGTAGTCTAAAGCAAAAAGTTACTCCTTTATGTTATGTGTCGCATAGAAATGAAAGTTATCAACCACATTCATATGATTCATTCGCATCATCTTCAACATAGCTAGACACTCTTAGCTCACCTGACAAAAGCCTAAGCATTGCATAAATCTGCTTTGAATGGATTTGGGATCTATCTCCAGCCACAAATTCATTAACAACAGCATCAATCTCGATGGAACTGATACCTGGTCTCTTTTGTATTCCAAGATCCTTCATTTTCTTCCTCACTGTGCTAGCTCCATGCCAACTTCCAACTGCAGCATATGTATTAGAAAGCAACACATGATTTGAATCTCCACCCGGATCCAACTTGTAGATATAATGCATTAGCCTTTCAGCTAGTCTTACATCCTTAAGATTTCGACAAGCTGCTAATATAGACCCCAATACAACTTCATTTGGCTTCACATGCATATTCTTAATAACACCTAATGCATCTTCTAATCTTCCAGCACGGCTGTAAAGATCAACTATACACCCGTAATGTTCAATCCTTGGAGAGATCCTATGAACTCTTTTCATTGCTTTGAAATACTTTAGTCCCTCCTCAACCATACCAGCATGGCTACATGCGGTGAGAACTCCTGTAAAGGTCACAGCATCTGGTTTAAACCTTTCCTTTTGCATCAAATTGAAATATTGTAGAGCATCCATTGCATGCCCATTGACAGCTAAACCTACAATGATTGAGTTCCATGAAACCAAGCTTCTCTCGGGCATTTTATCAAATACCTGGCATGCCAATTCTACACATCCACACCTACAATACATGTCGATTAACGTGTTATTAACACGAACATTGTTCTTAAATGCACGTTGCAAGATAAATCTGTGTGACCATAGGCTTATACCAAGAGTCCCCAAATTAGCACAAGCTGAAAGCACCGAGATCATTGTTACATAATCAGGCTCCACCCCAGATAACTGCATTTCTTGAAACCACACTAGAGCTTTCTTCAAAAAGCCCATTCTTGACAAATCCACCAATCAAAGCCGTCCAAGATATGACATCTCTTTCAGGAATTTCATCGAACATCTTAACTGCATTCTTGAAATCGCCATTTCTCATGAAACCATCAACCATGGTGTTCCAAGTCACCTTATTCTTGACATCCATATGATCAAAACTCAATCTAGCAAGCTCTAGAAGTCCAAACTTAGAATACATATCGATAATAGCAGTACCCACTTTCACATTCTGAGTATCCAACCCAAGTTTTCGAGCATATGCGTGAAGGGCAGAACCAAGAGAGAGAGCTTGCGCAGGAAAATGGGCACAGCCGGAGAGCAGAGTAACAAAGGTAACGTGATTCGGTTCAAAGCCGGAAATCCGCATAAGGGTGAACTCGGAAACCGCCTCGATTAAGCGGCCGTTTCGGCAGTGATTGGCTATTAACGAGGTCCATGAAGCAGTAGAGTCGAGATTATTGCTGAGGTTCTTAAGAGCTAATTGAAATTTTGAACGGCGGTCGGTGGTGGTGGCATTTTTGTCAACGAGATGAGTAAGTGGAGGATGCGGGGACGTCGACGGCGGAGAGTTGGCGGCAGTGACCGTAAAGGCGGGGAGGGCCATTGCATATTTCAAATTACGGTTGAGATATCCTATATGAAATGATATTTATTACAGTTTTAGTTATTGGGTATTGGTTTTCAATAGTTCAATTATTTTTTTATTTAATTTTTCTATTACATTTCGGGATGGAAAAGAGATAGTGTTATAAAACAATAAAAGAAGAAGAAGAGTATTGTAGAGAAAAGTAGAGGGAGAGAATTCTTATTGATTTGGGATGAATTACAATAGAATAGAACCCTCTATTTATAGTGAGAGAGTGACTTAGCCACTAAGTAATAAACCCTACAATCTCTCTAAATATAGGCATTCACCATAAATACAATTCTATTTATAACACTCTCCATTGAATGTCTATTCAACAGATAATGTGTCTCGTTAAAACCTTAAGTAAAAGAAAACCCAATGGGAAAAAAAAAATTCTAGAGAAGGAAAAAGAGTACACATATCTACAATACGCATTTTGGTTGCCTCGTTAAAAACCTTGCAAGGAAAACCCAATGGGACAAAACCTTGTAAGGGAAAAAAGAGTACAACGCGTATTAACTCCCCCTGATGAGAGCATCAATTCACATCCTTGAGCCTTCGCATCCCAATCTTGTGCACTAGTTTCTTGAAGTCTGACGTCGGCAAAGATTTGGTGAATAAATCCGCCATATTAACTCCAATAAATATGTTGCACCTTGAAAATCCTCGCTATCACATTATCATGCTTATAGTTATAGCAACATACATTTGTGCACAAATTGCACTAGGGATATGGTACTTCAGGACCAAAAATTGTATATGCTTTAAGCGATTGAAATCCTTCAAGGATTGACATATAAGTTAAGTCATATAAGTCATATAATAGACATTAGATGCATATCATGTCATGCTACACAAATAAGATATCGAAAACTGATTGCACATATCATTGACTTTATACTTTCAAGTGTTTGAACTGCAGGTCCAAAACTATATGTCTTTCATATGAAACCAATTCTATTCGAATTGTTTCTTCAGACTTAAGATCCTCATATATATTTGGCACTATTATAGATGTCGTCGACAAATGTTTTATATCGGTTCCGGCCTCCTTTTTTTCCATAAAGACATAACATAGAGAACTCTTCATTCATATATTCAGGTACCTGAATCTCTCATGAGATTTTATGAAGTGTTATGTCATGTGATCTTCTAGATCACTTACTCATCTTCTTTATCAAGAAGTTTATTTGAAACTGATTTGTCTATATGCTTTAAGCGTACTATAGACTTTGTTCTTCTAGGACTTAATAGAAGCATTTGCAATGAGAATATTGTTACTTTCTTTGGGCCAACAAATGCGTCTGGCATGCTTTGTAATAAATTGCACATGAATTATCCTTTTATGAACTTCAAGCTCATATTATTTTATTTGGGGATCTAGATGTATAAATGATAATTCATTCCATGTAACTTTTTCTCAACTGTTATATCTTGTCTCCCCCTCATGTTAGAAAAACTAACTTGTTTCCTCAACTTTGAGAACCCATCTTTGTGCGTTATGGTGTTAATCAAAATATACACCGCACATCAATAATAATGAGATAGAATTATTTGGTTCCTGACCCTGAAACCACTTGTGAGGGGAGAATGTAATATACTTTCGTATATAACCTATATCAAACTGATATAAATAACTTTGTTAAGCAATAGTTTAGCTATTAAGTGGAGGTACTCAATAAATCATTTTGCTAAACCAACTGTGATGTAAACCAACTTATCAAGAAGAACTATCTTGAATAAAAAATCTGAAAATTATGCTCTATATTAAATTATTGAGCAAGTTACCTCGCAAACACCAGGTTGCGGGTCAATAATAATTGCACATGTAACCATCTCATAGATGCATCTTATGTGGTATACATGGCAGGTGAATGGGCCCATATTCACCTTTGATATTTCCAGCATTTATGGGATTCAATCCCAATTTTAATTGGTCTATTAATTAATGAGAACAAGCAATGTAAGAGAATTCGTAAAGAACTTTCTAGTTCTTTAATATTTACCCATGTGAATTCTCTTTTATTTTTGCACATCATACTTGAATTAACATGGCTAAACCAATTGTGCCAACTGGATAAATTATCAATATTGATAAACTTCAGGTTTATACCATGATGTGTGCAATTATGAATAAACTCCAAGTTTATTATGATATGGGTTTTTATATCAATAAATATCCATTTCATTGTGGTATTCTTTTATTTATGTAGTACAAATTGGAATAAAGCGGGTAGCTTTTCACATACATATTACCCCGCTACAAGTTGTAGTAATAGAAGATATTAAATCTTTCCTTTATTTATAGTCTCAATATAATCAACCGCTTTCGCGTATACATTGGAAACTGAATAAGTTTCTTTGAGACGTACTACAACACAATACCTTATTGGTAATTAATTGTGTTTCTCCAAAATAGTATAATTGGCTCTTGTAGAGTTCTCAATTAATTTTGTAGTACCACATATTCATCAACACATATATGGTGAATATCTCTTTTAAAGAGAAAGTTATACCATTATGGTTATGGTCAAAATTATATGCAAGATCTGTTTCTTGCATTACCGTTGTCTTTTAACAATCACAATGCCAAAATATTTTGGCGTACAATAGGTACGTGACCAATGACCATTCATGCCATAATAATGACATTATTTTCTTATATCATCTCAAACCTCCTTTTAGAAGTGAGTGCGGTATATTCACTACCACTAGCACGTTCATATTCTTTGAAGAATGAGTATGTATTCATAAATCAGATGTTGTCACATTCACATCATGAATGGATCATAATCATCTATATGTGCTTTACAAAATCTCATGTCAAATCGATGACAAATATTTTTCACAAAGTGAAAGATTATTTTGAGAATCCTTATTGTTCTCATTACCACAAATGATGATGATTATAATTTCGTCTATTGCCACGTCCATATCTGTTGATACATTCATAGTAATAATTTTGTCTTCTTTCAGACTAATCACATACTGCTATCACATTCTCTTAAGGGAATGAGAATGGAGCAAATTCAATGGGACGGGTTTTCACTTCTTGTGCTCACGATCATACATGACTTTGATCATGGCAAGACATAGAAATATTACCACTTCAGGTGGTTATAATTTCTTACAAACTCCATTAGAGATATAATCAAACTTTGTTGTCTTTGCTTGTATATAAAATCAAATTATAGAATTTCAAGAATTTAAAACAGAAAAATAAAGTAAAATACTTACCTTAAATCCAGAATTTAATCATGAAGGAAGTTCATGGAATAATTGACCATCATTATGCTCAATCCCAAAGCTTCTACTCAACTGGTTAGAGTCTCGTGCTGATAACGTGTTATAAAATAATAAAAGAAGAAGAAGAGTATTGTAGAAAAAAGTAGAGGGAGAGAATTCTTATTGATTTGGGATGAATTACAATAGAATAGAACTCTCTATTTATAGGGAGAGAGTGACTTAGCCACTAAGTAATAAACCCTACAATGTCTCTAAATATAGACATTTACCATAAATACAATTCTATTTATAACAGATAGATATTTTAACTTTTCTAAGGCCTATTTTTTTTGTTTTTTTTTGGTTGGTAAAAACGATTTTATTCAACTAAGCGCAACCTCAAGAGTTATTACAAAGTGAGAGTAGCGTAGGTAACATGGTACCTATTCCTTCTCTTTCAAAAGCAGCAAATACAAAGGGGGGGGGGGGGAGGGGAGGGAGGGGGATAGGTGAGTAAAACTCCAAAAACGTCCAAATTGCATGTATTTTTAGCTAACTGGTCTGCCACTCCATTAGTCAATTAAATTTTGATAGAGACAGTCATTGTTAGTGATCATGTTAATTAATTCTAGACAATGTGTCTCAATTATTAATGGCAGTAGCCCCTTTTCTATTGCAATATTGATTCCATGGAATAGTGCCAATGCATCCATGTAGATGTTGGTGGCGTGCTGAATTCCCATGTTAAACCCTATTACCCATAATTTATTGCTATCCCTAAAAACACCCCCTGTGCCACCTTTCCCTGGGTTACCCTAGCATGCCCCATCAATATTGAGCTTGAATGCATTGGTATTAGGGGGTTCCCGTTTGATGAGGATGACTTATTTTCTAGGCTGTGGTTAACTTGTTAGTTGCGTATACATACTCTATTGCCTTATTTATTGGGGTGTCGATGTTAGGATAGGAGTTATTATTATTGAAAAGTATTTCATTTCTAGTAATCCGGATATGCCAAAGAAGGAAGAGAAGGAACTCCGACCAATTAATATGATTGTTAAAAGGTTTTGTAGAGCTTATGACCTCCTTTATCCAGTTAAGCATTGTGCCTTTGTCATTCTGAGCTTGAGGATAGTTATGGTGAGTGCCAGTTTGAGCCCAAATGGTCCTATAGTAGGTAAATTTAAAGAAGATAAGTTCGATATCCTACCTCTCTATTCCACAGATGGAACACGTCCTATTAGGGCAAATTTTCCTTTTGGAGAGCATGTGAGTGGTAGGTAGTCTATCTAGAATCACTGTCCATAGGAAATGTCTTAATTTTCTAAGTGTATTGACTTTCCAAATCCAATCACAGTTAGGACCCTCATATTCGTTTGTATCAATTAAATAGGTGGTACTTACTTAAATAGGTTACTATGAATTTCTGTGACAACTTCTTCCTGGAGGATTAGGAAAATATTGTTTAAGTGAAATTTCCTATCAACGATAATTGAGTTTAGTCTTTGGTTCAATTCATGCTCCATGAGAAGACCCCGAATGTGCTGTTGATACCCTGTATTTTTTAAATATGCAAAATACCTTCAAAATAGCCTATATATGCATATATAAGCATGTCCCAAGGTTTTATTATTTTTCCTTAATTTTTCAAGATTTTTAAATTAATTTATTGCCCTATTTTATCAAGGGAAAACCCAATAATTACTCCAAAAAATATCATTTTGGTGATTTATTTATTAGATTATCATAC